GGTCGGCGGGGGAGGGGCGGGACGTGCCGGGCGGGGGCAGGGCCTGTCTGTGGACGTGGGCGGGGCCTTCCCGAGGGGCGGGGCTTCCTGGGCGGGGCCTGTCTGGGATGCTGTCGGCAGGGGAGGGGACTGGCTGCCTGGGGTGGGTGGGGATATCGGCCTGACCCCGCCCTCCCGCCCCAGGAGACTTCGCGGCCTTGCTGCAGGCCGGGCTGTCCGTGCGCCGGGCGCTGCTGCTGAACTTGGCCTCGGCGCTCACGGCCTTCGTCGGCCTCTACGTGGCGCTCGCGGTCGGCGTGGACGAGAACAGCGAGGCCTGGATCCTGGCAGTAGCCACCGGCCTGTTCCTCTACGTGGCGCTCTGCGACATGGTCAGGGCGGAGGGCGGGAGGGGGCCACCCTGGGCGGGAGCCGAGCAGGCGCTCTCGGCCGGCCGCTGACCCAGTGCCCACCTCAGCTCCCGGCCATGCTGAACATGCGGGACCGGCGACCCTGGCTCCTCTTCCTGCTGCACAACGTGGGCCTGCTGGGCGGCTGGACCGTCCTGCTGCTGCTCTCGCTGTATGAGGACAACATCACTTTCTGATAGCCCCCGCCCCATTCGCTGGCCCTGAGCTATCTCAGCCCCTTGGACCTGCCAGCCACACCCGAACATACAGGCAGGTACCTGGAGAACCCCACGCCTTTGAGAGTCTCCCTTCCCCATGCCTCGACACCCACCTTCAATAAAGACATTCTTGCCTTAGAGCCCAGCCTGCTTTCCTTGCTGGGAGGGAAGGATCTCCCACCAAGAAAGGCGGGTGAGTAGGGCGGTACCTCTTTCCCCATGGCAGTGCCTGGGGCCCTGATGAGGAGCCAGGATCACTGTGCTCAGGGACATCCAGGCAGCCAGCTCCGGTCTCCTCCTCTGTAATGTGGAGACCCTGCCTGGGGAGCGAAGTCAGAGAAATTGGCCAGGGTCTGTGGGCAGCAGGTGGGACCTGGTCTCCAATCAGGAGTCAAACTCATTTACTTATAGCAGAAAACCCAAACAACCAGCAGTGCCTACAGATGAGGGCTTATTTCTCTTATGAAAACCAGGCCTGGAGATAATCAGACCAGAGTCTGGGGCAGCCTGTGGTCAGTGGGGCCCAGGCCTCTTCTGACTCTGCTCCACTATCCTCAGCAGAGGCGTCCATACTCAGAGTCCCCTTGCAATAGTCTTCTAGGGCTAGCACAGCCCACCACAAACCGGGTGCCTTGAAACAACACAAATTGATTGTCACAGTTCTGGAGGTGTCAGCAGACCGTGTGCTCTTCTGAACTCTCTAGGAAAGAATCTGTTAACATGAGTCTTTGTGTGTGTGAGGAAGATCAGCCCTGAGCTAACATCCATGCTAATCCTCCTCTTTTTGCTGAGGAAGACTGGCCCTGGGCTAACATCTGTGCCCA